CCGGGGCAGTGGAAGCTTCGAATGGGGCGGTGCGGGTGGTGGTGCGGGGAGATGCGGACGGCCGGGCGTCTCGGGAACGGCGCGGCGCTGTGGCTGCTGCTGGCGGCGCAGGCGGTGGCGGCGATCGAGCCCATTACCGTGGGCATCGCCATCGGGGCCGCGTCGGTCATCACCGGCTACCTCTCCTACCAGGACCTGTACTGTCGCTTCGCCGAGTGCTGCGGCAAGCATCGGCCGCTCAACGCGACCGGTAGGCGGGTCGGCGGGTGGGCGTGAGGAGCGTGAAGGCCGGCCCCGAGGTGGGGGAGGCAGAGGGCGGTGGGGCCTCGGTCGCGACCCCAGCCCTGGGAGCCGCGCCTCCTGTCGAAGTCAGGAGCGTCCACGCGTGTCAGGATCCTTACGAATGTGTTTGAGACAAACCGACAATTCCCGCGAAGCAAAATCCCACCGGCTTGAGAAATGCTCCCAAAGTGGCAGCTTTACCGCTTATTTTCTGCATCAGAATCAGAGGAGAAGACGGAAGGGGGTCCCGTGAAATTCGCTGGTGATAGATCAGGGAGGCGGGAGAAGGTGTTCAGGGAAGAACATTCAAACCTGTGAAGAACTGTGAGTCTGTAGGGGCTGCCATGCCGGCCTCCCTGACCTGGTCAAGGTCAGTACGTGGTCCCTTTCCTGTCCACGCCCCCGTGTCGGCGTTGTGACCCCTGGGATCACAGCAGAAAGAAACTGAAAGCAGCTGGTCAGCCCTTCTGAGTCACCTGAAACTTCAGTGGTTTGCAGGTGTGTGGCCTCCACCCAGGCTGCCCACATCTGGCCCGGGCGTTCTGAAAAGCCAGCGGGGGTGGCGGGGGAAGCATGCAGCTAGTAGGGAGAGGGCTAGTCCTTGGATGAAGGGACACGTGTGGCCTGCGTGTCAGAGCCGGAGTGGTGAGGACACTCGTCTATCTTGTGCAGTGGTCGGGAAACTCATTAGTCAACAGAGCCAAATATCAACAGTACAACGATTGAAATTTCCTTTGAGAGCTATATTTTTTAAACATAAACTATACAGGTAGGTACATTGTTATTAACTTAATTAGGGTACTCCTAAGGCTTAGGAAGAGCCACACTCATGGGGCCAAAGAGCCGCATGTGGCTCGTGAGCCGGAGTTTGCTGACCACACATCTAGTGATTTCCCTGCAAGTGGCCCCATGTGACTGCAGCCCGTGTTCTGCCCCAGGGCCAGCCTGGGGTCCGGCAGAGACCCTGCTGGGCCCCGTGCCCTGGCGCCTCTCTGGCCGGCTGGGACAAGGCCGCTTGCTGGTGCAGGTTTAACGTGCCTTTCTCTCTCTGTTCTGGGCTGGATCCTGCAGCCCTCAAGCTGGATTTGGAGGAGAAGCTGTTTGGGCAGCATCTGGCCGCGGAGGTGATTGTCAAGGCGCTGACTGGCTTCAGGAGCAACAACAATCCCAAGAAACCACTGACTCTTTCCTTGCACGGCTGGGCTGGCACAGGCAAGAATTTTGTGAGCCAAATTGTGGCTGAAAATCTTTATGCAAAAGGCCTGAAGAGTAACTTTGTCCACCTGTTTGTGTCGACTCTGCACTTCCCTCACGAGCAGCACATAAAGCTGTACCAGGCAAGGGAACCCTGCTATCCCGTCCACCCGCCTCTTGTCTGGGCCGCCTATTTTCTCACTCCAGCCTCTGCTGCTTCTCTGCCCGCTGCAATAGCCCCAGGCCCTGCTGAGTTAAGGACACTCACACAGTGTAATGCTTGGCCATGTGCAGGGCTCTCCTACAACTTCTTCCTCGCTTGATTCCAAAATAATACAGTGGCGTAGATGATATTTCCGTTAAAAGATGGAGGCTAGAGGGGTGTGGTGACTTGCTGCTTACAATCTTTGTGACCTGGTAGCAAATCAGAAACTGGAACCCAAATCTGCTGACCTCCAGGTCGCAGGGTAGCCAGTTTCTGCAGTGAATGAGCACGCTCAGCCTTCCCTTCCCGGCCCTGGTTAAGGTGGGTGGTCTGGAAGGATGCACGATTTGCTGGGAATGGCTGGCTAAGGCTCCCACCCATGGTGCGGGCTTGCCTTGCATCTCCCAGACCAGAGGGCGTGTTTCCTCCTCTCCCGCCTGCACTCCCCCTGCTCCTCCCAGCCCTCAAGTCCTTGGCGTTGCTTTCCTTCTTCCAGTGAAAGCCTCAGACGGCTGAACCTTAACACCACGTCTCCATTTGAGATGTTCTTTCCACATGTGTCCATAGGGAGTTGTCTGGTCAGGTTCTTGTTTCAGTGAGTGTGATCCTCGTAAGAGTCAATGTTCCTACTGGTAGGTGGGGACTGGAGTCAGAAACAGAAACTGGACTGAGCAAGGAAGTGAAAGTGGGTCTATGCCACACGGGAGGGAGATGGGAAAGGCTGCTTGCTCCATAGAGGGCCTGCTGCTTGGGTGTCTTTTTGTTTCGAGAAAGCCTGGGAACAAATGCTTTTTGTGAAGTGTCATCTGGTCCTTTGTTGGCGGCACCAGGAAAAGGCATTGCCCTCGGCACTGTGAGTCTTCCTCCAGCTCCTGTTCCTGAGTGTGCCTGCTGAGGCTGAGATTTTGGTCCACAGTGAGAGGAAGGCTGTGGGTTGGTTAACAGTGAATTGATAAGCTTTCATGTATCCTGTTCCTTAAAAAGTGACATTTAGCAGGTCATTTGAGTTAGGAAAAAATCTCTGCTCGTTTCCACTTTTAATTGGTAACATTTTGGAAAAGCTGTTCCCGGCTAATGGAAGTTAGGGTGCACTTGCTAAGAGTTCTTTGTGAAACCCCAGAGAGTTGTGGTTTTCCCCTTTGAGAGCACGAGGGATAGGGGAGCACTTCTGCACTCCTTGGCCCAGCCTTTGAGCCTCCACGTCCTATTTCTTTTCTGAATGGTCTAGGACCAGTTACAGAGGTGGATTCGGGGTAACGTGAGTGCCTGTGCAAGCTCCGTGTTCATATTTGATGAGATGGATAAACTGCACCCCGGGGTCATCGACGCCATCAAGCCGTTTCTGGACTACTATGAGCAGGTTGATGGCGTGTCGTACCGGAAGGCCATCTTCATCTTCCTCAGGTTAGTGGGAAGTGGTTTCTCAGGGACACACTTGCCCCTCGGCCTCCTGGGGCTGGAATGAGGTCTGGCGACCATCAGCATCCTGTTTCCCAGGAACAGAAGTGCCAGCCTGGCAAGAGTGACTGATTTCTTTTGCTGTCCTGTTGCTGGTATCAGCGTGGCACAGAGGGGGCAGGAGAAGATGAATTCAATATGGCTGCTAACAGGCGATTTCATTACTGCACATGTTTCTACATAAAGTGGTGGTATTAGGTAGCGGGTTCTAAACAAAGATTGTAGGGCAGACACTGTGTTTTGCCTAGCATGACTTGGTTACATTGTTTCATTGAGTATAAACCTTAGAGAAGGTGTGTTTCCTGATTAGACACAGAAATCTTTTTTTTACATGGAGTTTGTTGAGGAGACAGTCTATATAATAAAAGGCTAATATGCAAATGGTCATCATGCCCTCACGTGTAACAACCAATCAGGAGCTGCGTGTGCAGCAGGCACGCACGGGTGGGCAGGGCTGCACGCGCGGCGAGGTGTGTGAGGGTTGGTGGGGCGGCATGTGTGACCAGTCACCAGGAGATACATTGAGCACCCCTCGGTCCCCCAACCCCACCCCCCGGCTCCTGTGGGTGGTAGCGGCGCCTCGCTCTTGCCCTCCGCAGAAGTGGCGTGGCTCCTACCAGCTGCCGCGGGCACGCTGCGGCTCCCACTGGCTCCCACGGAATCGGCGTGTGGCCTACTGCAAGCAATTTCATGCGCTGGGCCATTAGTTGGTTAATAAAATGATACAGGTTTCAGGGTACAATTCTATAACATCATCTGTATATTGTAGTGTGTTCACCACCCCAAGTCAAGTCTCCCTCCCTCACCATTTATCCCCCTGTTACCCTCTTCTACCTTCCCCAGCCCCTAGGCACAGAAGTCTTAGTATGTGGTTTTAATCTTTGTTTCTTGGGCAAACTCAGCAACGCAGGCGGGGACCTCATCACGAAGACGGCCCTGGAGTTCTGGCGGGCGGGAAGGAAGAGGGAGGACATCCAGCTGAAAGACCTGGAGCACGCGCTGTCGGTGGGAGTCTTCAACAACAAGCACAGTGAGTCTCCAGGGGCAGCCCTGCACCTGCCAGCAGTCCTCTCCCCCAAGCCTTTCACAGAGGCCGCAGGACCCGCTCGCCTCCCGGGCTTTACCGGGCCAGGGGCTTTCTCAGGGTGTTTCTCAGGGGTTCTATCTACGAAAGGTTGATCTGATTATAAATTCCTAACTGGGAAGGCCCTGACAGGGAGTCACACCCCGGGCATGTAACTTTTAAAAAAATATATGTTTTTATTGATTTCAGAGAAGAAGGGAGAGGGAAAGTGAGATAGAAACATCAGTGATGAGAAATTATCATTGATCGGCTGCCTCCTGCACACCCCATACTGGGGATCGAGCCCGAAACTTGGGCATGTGCCCTGACTGGGAATCGAACCCTGACTTCCTGGTTCATAGGTTGATGTTCAACCACTGAGCCTCGCCAGCTGGGCGGCATGTAACTTCTTTACTGAAAGGCTTATCTTTGCCTTAACAAGTTACTACCACTTGTCCAAAACAGAAAACATCCCCACATGCCATGATATTTTTAATTCAATTAGAAAAATCAATTTTCAGTTAACATTATAAAAATAAATACATTACTCACAAGCTGGGTGTTCTTGAATATTTTCAGCTGAAAATTCTCACAAAAAGTGATTTTAAAGTTGGTCAGGGCTGCCACTTAGGGAAAACACTTTTTTTCTTATAGACACACGTGGTGTATGGGAAGGTCTGCCGCTTGCATCTAAGGATGCTTATGGCGTACAATGGCTTAAGCAAGCCCTGTCCCTTGCATCTGAGCATCTAGGTTAACACACTTGATTTGCTGGAGTAAGCCTCTTTCTTGGACTCCTCAAAGGCGTAAATATCCTCAGGGAACCCATAATCGTCTTAATCTGAACCCAACCCGCCTGGCTTTCTCCCACCTTCGTTTCATCCCCTCCATAATCATAAATGCATAATAGAAGCTGCAAAGCTGTCCTTCCTGGAGGCTTTTTATTTTTCCAGTTTGCTGAGATCATGCTTCTAGGTACGTCCTCTGGCTCAAAATACATTTTTATAAAAATTCTCTGTAGGTTTAGGTGTTTCCTCTGTTGTGTGTGTGTGTTTTTTTTAATATGTCTTTACTGCTTTCAGAGAGTGAGAGAGAGGGAGAGAGAGAAACATCAGTGATGAGAGAATCATTGATTGGCTGCCTCCTGCACGCCCCACACTGCGGGTCGAGCCTGCAACCAGGCACATGCCCTGACCGGGAATTGAACCGTGACCTCCTGGTTCATAGTTTGATGCTCACCCACTGGCCAGGCTGGACATGTCTTAGGTTGACATGTTCTAGAAGCCAGTGTGCAGGGGCAACCAACCGATGCTTACATCAGACTTGTTGCACGCTTGACAAAAAGACTTTCAAGGGGTGAAGACACGAAGGTGTGCTGTGGTCGGGATAGAATGGGCCCTGTGAGAGCAGCGAGCTCGCCAGGTGACCGTGACGGGCTGTTTTGCAGGTGGCCTGTGGCGCAGCGGGCTGATATACAAAAGACTCATCGACTACTTCATCCCCTTCCTGCCCCTGGAGTACACGCATGTGAAGATGTGTGTGCGGGCCGAGATGAAGGCCCGTGGTTCCGCCATAGACGAAGACGTTGTCACCAGAGTGGCAGAGGAAATGACGTTTTACCCCAAAGGTGAAAAAATCTTCTCCGACAGGGGCTGCAAGACTGTGCAGTCACGGCTGGATTTCCAGTGAGCTCCATCCGAGCAGGGTCCGAGCCAGCTGGGAGCTCAGGAGCCAGGGCCCGGCCTTTCAGAAGCATTCTGAAGATGTCGTCGGGGTTTGCACATTTGTACCTGTGGACTTTTGGAATCTAGAAGTTTCCAAGAGTTGATTTTTGATGAGCCGCTAATCTGCCAAGTGCACTTGTCATTTTGCAACATGGTAGCAATGCAACTGTTGCTGCAGTTGAAGATGAACTTTTAAAACCCGCTCTCTCCCACTCCTTCTACTGACTTTGCAGAAGTGCCTTCAAACAGCTGTCTGTGTGAGACCCATGACTGTGGCCCTCAAGCTGCTGTCCCTCCTGAAGTCCAGGGCCTGCTGCAAGCTGGGAGCACTGCTGTCACCTGCCGGAATCAGGCTTCCGCTCCGGTTCTCTCTTCACAGAGAGCGTCCCGACTTGAAGTATTTTCAGTGGAGAATGGTGGTGCCTTCAGGCACAGGCTGTGTCTGGCGGGAGGACGTGTGGGGTGCTCGTCTGTGCGGCAGCCAGACGGACAGATCATCGCCGCCTGGCCGTTGCTCTGCTGCTCGGGGAACCCGCTCGCCTCTCCCTGTGGCACTTCTGAACGTCGGTGACCACCAGCTTCCCCCGCCGTTAGTCGGACTGGAACCGGAGCGTTGCTTTCAGTTTCAAGTCCTTGGTCCCATGGGGAAATGTTTGTTACAGCTTATACTTAGGTCATTCTCTCGCCATAACCCACAGAACCATTTGAAATCCTAGAACATGGTCATCTCTGTGGAGATGGGGTCAGCTTGCAGACTCTGCATTGCCAAAGAGGAAGTATCGTACACTAGAAACAGTAGTTTTCAAGGATGAGTATATACACACACACACACACACACACACACACACACATATATTTTAATATATTTTTGTTGATTTTAGAGGGAAAGAGAGGGAGATAGAAACATCAATGATAAGAGAGAATCATCGATCAGCTGCCTCCTGCATGCCACCCCCCCACTGGGGATCGAGCCTACAACCTGGGCACTTCCCCCTGGGCGGAGTCAAACCTGGGACCCTTCAGTCCACAGGTTTGGCTCTATCCACTGAGCGAAACCAGCCAGGGCAAGGATGAGTATATTTTTATAATGTTTGTATTTCTGGATGTTAGAGAATACTAAGGTAGGGCGTTGCTCATTTTAAACATGGGAAGGACACTAATGGAATAATTGTCTATGATCAGAAACTCTGAAATGAAGGGTATGATTTATTGTCAAATGCATGGTACTGTACTGTCACAATTATAGAACAAAGTAATTATTGATCAGCCTGGAGTTGTGGCTTTCCTGGGTGTCATCTGATAGTGACGCCCTCTGTGGCAGTGCAGGCTGGACTGCCCTGGTCCCTGGGAATCAGACGATCCCAGCCCGTGTGAAGCGTTTAGCTCATGGTTGCAGTGGACCTACAGATGTAATGAGGACGTGCAGCCTTTTCACGTAGATGTGGTAAATGAATATTTTTATGACATGGAAGGCCTTATGGAGGATCATACTGTCCTTTAAAAATGCCAAAGTGAGGTAACGAATGCTCAGATTGGAGGAACCTTTTTTCTGCCAAGGGACATTTGGATATTTGTAACATCATTCAGGGGCCATACAGAATTATCAACTTAAAAATTAGCCTGATATATTTGGTCAAACACTTAATTAACTTATCCCTGATGCTTTGGTAGGGCCGGACCAAATGATTTCATGGGTCATATATGGCCCTGGGGCTGGACCTTCCCCACCCCCGGTTTACAATGATGCAGTCAACTCAGCATATGTTGGCCACGTCAAAACTGCCTGTTGTAAAAGGAATCACGTGGATGTAAAGTGCAGCCTAGGGAATCGTCAATAATAACTGTGGTGTCAAAAGGGACCATTACTGGTTTGTAACTTGAAAAGGCCACAGTTGACCATGGAACAGCCTCCCCCACCCCACACAATGTACACGGGAGCTTGAGATGACCCAGTGAATCTACACTAATAAAAGAGAAAGATGCAAACTGACTGTACCTTCATGACGCCCATCAGCCAATCAGCAGTGGGTATGCAAACTAACCCATCAAAGATGGCGGGTTGGTTTGCAGGTGCTGAGTGGTCAGGGGCGGGGCGGGACACTTGTGTCGTCACCATGGCGACAACGCAGGCATTCTGCACTGCCCCAGCTGCTCCAGGCATCTGGGCAGCGTGAGAAGGCCAAAAGGTGGCTCCAGGACAGAACGAAGGCAGAAAGGCGGCTCTGGGCCGAAGTGAAGGCGGTGCTGGCAGCCAGGGGAAGGAACGCCCATTCTTACATGAATCTTAGTGCATCGGGCCTCTAATATAAAGCCAGAATTTCATCATATGAGATGTCATTTGCAGATTTTCCCCCTAGTTTATGTACTTGGTAACTGAAAAGTTTGAGCTTGGAATGAAGGCTCAGCAACTCGGGTGTTGGGCTCCGTGTGCCTGGCCATGGTGGTTTGCAGGCGGCATCACACAGAATCAGTATTTACCTTACAGGCTCTTACACCCAGTCAAATACCATGTTAACCTGGATGAGGGGCTCTACTCCAATCACATGTTCATGGGTATCAAGATCGTTGGACTTCCAATGTTTTCTAAGACGAGTGGAGGGACTTGAGACATGGGGAAATGCAACTTGGCTGGCTGACATTTTTTATTTTTAGAGACAGAGAGAAACATCGATGTGAGAGACACACATCAATTGGTTGCCTCTGAGCTTGCAACCAAGGTATATGCCCTTGACTGGAATCGAACCTGGGACCCGCAGGCCCACGCTCAGCTGACATTCTGAACCTGAGCTAGGCCAACGTCAGACCAGGAAACCTAACTGCCAGGTCTTCCCCCCAGAACTGGAAATGAAACCCTAGTTGTAACCCAGAGCTCAGCTTAATCACACTTACCTGCCTCTTATCTGTCAGTGAATTGTTAACACCAGCCCTTTCCCCAGAGTTGAGGAGAGCCAGCTGACTTTCTAAAGTGCAAACCCTCTTCCCATCATCGCCCCCACACCCCTCACTTCTCAGTTGGAAGTGCTCAAGTCCCAGGAGACGGACATTCCTTGTTGGGCTCCCACCCAGATAGCCTCATCTACAAAGACAACTCCAAATTGAGTCAGGGGCCCTCTGTGTTCTGTAATTGGGGACCCCCAGGTGCTGCCATCTTCAAATGCATGATAGATCCCAATCTGTGACTCCTGGAGACCTGGCAACAGACCAGAGTCAGCTCAAAGTCTAGAACTTTCCAACATGTAGAGCCGTCCTCAGGGGGCCAGGGTGGCAAAGGGTCCTGTGTCAGCCCACAGCCAGGCTGCCAACCCGTCTGTGCCCGCTGAAACCTGTCCCTGTGAACACTGCTCAGGCCTCACCCCCCAGGAGCCCCACCTGTTCGTAGGCACATGTGCGGATTGTGTAACAAGGTATGTTAGTCAGCAGTACTCCCTACTCCTGCCTGGCGTCTCTGGACTTGGACTCCACGGCTGGTGTCAGGAGCTGCATGAGCCCCATGGTGGGCAATGCGCCGTGCAGCTGGGCGAGTGGCCAGGTTGTCCTAGGATCCTCAGTCTCTGGTTAGAGTTCATGTGATTCCGGCCTGGACTGCTCCTGCTAGGTCTTCATTCATAGCTTAAGCACACAAGGCCTACAGGGGACGGGTTTTCTCCTTTAAAACTGTGTCCAGAAATTACAGTTTTTTAAATAAAACTAGTGGCTTGTTGCATGAAATTTGTGCGGGGGAGGTGGAGGGGGTTGTCCTTCAGCCTGGCTGCACCCTCTCCAATCTGGGACTGCTGGCTCCTAACCGCACACCTGCCTGCCTGATCACCCCTAAGCACTCTGCCTGCTGGCCTGCTTACCCCCACCTGCCCCCCATCCCGCCAGCCTGCTCGCCCCCAACTGCCCCCCACAGCCCACTGGCCTGGCCTGATCGCCCCTAACCACCTCTGCCTCAGTCCTGCCACAATGGCTTTGTCTGGAAGGACATCCAGAAGGTCTCCTGGTCTAATTATCATATTACCCTTTTATTAGCACTTGGAGTGCGGGAAACGAGTTAAGTCGGCTCGCGTGAATTGCGCGTACTCCGCGGGAGCCGTCTTTAACTCGGTTCATATAGATTTGCGGTGGAGTGCGGGAAACGTGTAAACTCGGGCCGATTGTAACTGCGTATTACCAAATATTTGTTTGTAATCCACCCTTTTGGTGGATGGAACAAAACCAAAAGACAGAGCCATCTTATATTTTGGCGGGAAATTCACCCGCACTCCAAGTGTTAGTATAGATGATAGCTCCTGGCATTAATAAAAACATTGTTCTCCAAGAGGTCATATGATTGTTTCCCGGCAAGGGCACATGCCCAGGTTGCGGGCTCCATCCCCAGTAGGGGGTGTGCAGGAAGCAGCCTATTGATGTCTCTCTCTCTCTCTCTCTCTCTCTCTCTCTCTCTCTCTCTCTCTTCCTCTAAATATAATCAAAAACATTTTTTAAAATTATATTAAAAATAAAAGCACTGTTCTCAGCATCCTCAAGGATTGGGGCAGCTAAGTTTTCCTGTGAGATGTTGGGAGTTCTAATCAAACTCAGGAAGTAATAATAATGAGAAAAACATGGCAGACCTACCAGAGAGCACTGGTTCCCTGGGGAGCGGGAGGCAGACCTTCCTTGGCACAGCTGACTGGCTGGCACGTGACAAGCTGCAAGCACTTTCCTTCCTGGGAAACTTTCTTCTTTAAATATGTTTTTATTGATGTTTAGAGAGAGGAAGGGAGAGGGATAGAGAAACATCGAATGGCTGCCTCCTGTACGCCCTCCACTGGGAATTGAGCCTGCAACCTGAGCATGTGCCCTGATCAGGAGGTTCCTGGGTCGAAGTTCAACCACTGAGCCACACGGCCGGGCTCTGGGAAATGTCCTAACAAGTGTTCACGGTGCTGCTCAGATGAAAGCCCCTTGGAGGACACTGCAGGCTCCTCTGTGACCTGCCTGTGCCCTCGTCCATCTGTCCTTTCACCAAAGACTGCACTGCTCAGCCTGTCCCCACCCAGCGCACACGCCGAGGACTTGGGCTTTTTGCAGCCAAGACATCACATCATGGTGTTGCCGTGACGGGAATTTGAAAAACCACACAAAGCCAACACTGAGAGTCTGAAAAGCTTCTCAGAATGTTAAAAACCATTTTAAATAAAGTTATCCCATTTTCAGTAAAACCTTTTCGTCCTTCCTTGAAACAGAAACACTTGACATTAAAACATGATTTTTAAAAAATCATGAGCCCTGATCCGAGTGGACTGGGAACGGAGACTTCCTTCTTAAGGCTCCGCTGCTCCGAGGAGACATCAGTAAGGAGACGGCCCGCAGGCTCCGCTGGGTGCACAGAGCGCCAAGGAAGGCCCGTCTCGCGTCCAGCAGGAGAAATTCACTGGACTCCTGCTCCGGGGCGGGCGGGGAGGTATGTGGAAAGGTTCGAGCACTGAGTTCTCTCCAGCGTGGCAACGCCTCCTGGGCCGTCAGTCATCGTAGTAATAATCCAACTTGGTGAACACAGTTTTGCAGCCTTTGTCAGAGAAAACCCTCTCCTCTTTGGGGAAAAAGGTCATCTCGTCGGCCACTCTGGTTACGATGTCCTCATCCACGTCATAGCCTCGGGCCCGCATTTCCACGCGGATGCACATCTTCAGGTGTTTATACTCGAGGGGGAGGAAGGGGATGAAGTAGTCAATGAGATTTCGGTCAATTAAACTGCTGTGCCAGAAGCCACCTGGGGAGAGAAAGGGCGCGGTTCATCCTCCGCCCGCCCAGCCCGTCTCCTGCTGCTGATGGTGCCGGGCTGCAGGTGCACCCGCACCGCCCTCAGGGAGCACCGATCTAGTGAGGCAGGAGGTATGACCTGCCAGCTGTCATGCTTCTGTGACAGCCACAGGGCGAGGGACACTTCTGCGTCCCACCCTGGGTGCCTGTGGCCCAGAACAGGCAGAGGCAGAGGTGGAAGGGAGCGATTCAGATTCAAGGAAAGGCCAGGAGTCCTGGCGAGCGACCAGATACCCATTTATTCTGAAAACTCCCCTCACTGGAGTTTCAGCAGCTGGATGAGCAACAGCGTGGAAACCACTGCCACTGCCGGCATGTCCGGACAGAGATCTGGGGGACCAAACACCAGGCCCCTCGAGTAAGAATGTGTGAAGCCCCCAGGCTGCAGGTGGCTCTGCACCCACCCAGTCACTCCCCCTGAGCCGCCCCGGCCTCCTGACCCAGCGCACACTCCATCTAGGACGGCGCATCGCCCACGGGACCTCACCCAGCATCTCCAGCGTCTCCCTCGCTCTGCTTTCCTCCCGGGCCTTCACCCTCTCCCAGCCTGACCCCAACTCCCACGTGAGTCGGTCCTCCCACACCAGCTGGCGTCCTACAATTCCAGTCCATTCTGACACTGTCTACCCGGAGACAGCATCAGGTCCAGGGGTGAGGGCTCGGCACCCCCACTTCCACCAACTGCAAGTTCAGGCGTCACCTGCGCTTCTGACCGACCAGCTAGAGAGGTTCCCATGACCCTCTCCTTGGGTTCAGTTGATTTGCTAGAGCAGCTCACGGACTTGGAGAAGCATCTTACTTACTAGGTTACCAGCTTATTATAAAATGATGGAACTCAGGAAGAGCCGGATGGAAGACTCACACATACAGTCAATGATATAGTGGTAACTGTGTACGGTGTCAGGCGGGAACTGGAAATGCCAGGGAGCACTTTGCAAAGTATATGACTGTCTAACACAATGCTTACACCTGACACTAATGCAGAGTAACACTGAGCGTCAACTGGAATTAGAAGACTCAGAGGGCGAGGCCCGGGGACAGGACAGCTGCCAGGCCTTCTGCGAGTGTCCCCGACCCGGGAGCTCCCGGAACCCCATCCTTCGTAGTTTTTATGTGGGCTTCACTACACAGGCACACCCGAGTCAACCTCCTCTCCCCTCCTCTCATCACAGGGTTGGTTCCCCTGGAAACCAGCCCTGGCCCTCAGGGGCTTCCCAAAAACCAGCTCATTAGCTAACACAAGCTCAGGTTGGGGTTGAAGGACTTGTTATGTATGTACCTCACGGTCTTTCACGGAGGAAGTTCCAGGGCTTTAGGAGCTCTGTGCCAGGATGGCCGAGGCTGAGGCCGTGGGAAAAAGCGAAACCGACCCTGGGAGCAGTGGGACAGCTCCTCCTGAAGCCTGCTGTGCCAGGCAGGCCCGGCCCTCATGCGGTTCACAAGCGCGAGCCCCCAGCAAGCCAGGACACAGACAATTCAGAGTGCGGGCCGCTGTGAATGAGGCGGCGCAGCCCATCAGGGTAGTCAGCCGCGCGGTCAGGCAAGGCCTGGCAGAAGGGGTGTGCTCTAGGCAGAGCCTGAGCAAGGAACCACCACACGGAGCCCAGGAAGAGTGTGCTGGCGGAACAGGTGCCCTCAGCTCGTGGCTTCAGAAACCATCTACCTCCCCAGTGTGCATCCTCAGTCCGACGCCCCCGGGAATTGCCTGAACAACCAGCCGTCAGCTCCTCATCTCTGCCTGGACGCCACCAATGTGTCACCACTCACTGCACACTCTGTGTTCACCTCCCACCTTCCCCACAACCTGCGGCTCCGCAGTCAGTGCCCCTCCGTGGCAGTCTACCCCTCGGAGCGCTAAAGCAGATCCTAGATTTGTCTCTCTCTCATTCCTACACACAATCCTTTAGGAAATCTTAGTTTCTACCTTCAAAATGCACCCTAATCCCACAATGTCCCCATCCCCACTGCCACCCCACTGCTCCAGGCCCCCAGCATTTCTCCCCTGGGCCGCAGTGGCTTCTGGGTGGCCCCCCGGCCCCGCCACCTGCAGGCTGTTCTCCGCCCAGCAGCCAGCGCAGTCCTGTAAGACTGAGTGAGATCACGTCACTGTCTACTACAAACCCTCCAGGGCTCCCTCCTCTACATGGAGTCAAACCCAAGGCCTCGCTGTGGCCCCCAGACCGTCTGAGATCAGCACCCCTGACCGTCTCCCCTCTAATCCAACTGTTCTCCTCTGCTCATCCTGGGCCAGCTCCCGTGACCCAGGCGCACTCCCACCTCGGGGCTCCTGTACATGCTGTCCCCTCTGATGTCCACATGGCTCATCCCTCACTCCTCGGGTCAGCTCAGTGCCCCCCTCAGAGACCCTTCTCTGACCTCTCTATCTAAAACCACAGCCCAGCCTCGTCCCAGCACCCCAAACCTTTTCTTAATTACTTCCTACCTCTTGGGGGGAGGGTAGGAGGGATACATTTCTACCTCTATTAGACACAGATATATCACATCATCCGACACATTTCCTCATCACTCGCTATCGTTAGGATATAAATTCCCTGATAGTAAGGACTTCTGTGGTTTTGTTCACTGCTGTGTGCCCAGTTCAGTGCCTGACTCCTGGTCATTGCACAATAAATATTTGTCAAATGAATGAATCAGCCATCTGCCCAAGGCCATCGTCAACAAGCAGCTGAGCCAGGTCTGCCCGATTCCAAAGCTCAGCTCGTGCCCTGGCATCCCCTTCTAGGCACCTGCTGCAGAATTGGGCGAAGGTTCCATTGCACGTGTCCACCTTGTGGCACACCAAGAAACCAGTGAACATATTACAGAATACTCCCTTTCATCAGTGACATTCCAGTTGCACAAACGGACATAAAATATCCCAGACTCTACAGAAGTGTGAATTTCTTGGCGAGTCTCTTTCGAAAGAGACCCTTTGCTCTGTAATCTCAAGAACAAACCCAAGCAGAGCAGAGACTTGGATGGTCAGGGTCAACTGCACGGCCCACAGGCTTTACCACCAGGCCAGTCCCCATCATGGTGGCTTCCACCTCCATGGGCTCAAGGTCTACGGTGTGAAGTTCACAGGAAGAGCAATGAGCTTGGTAGTTAAAGCTCGGGCTCTGGAACCAGGGTCACGGAACAGGCTGTGTGGACACGTGCCTTAGTTTCCTCATCTGTAAAATGGGGATGGCAGTGAATAGCTTCTCCCCAGAGGTTACTGTGAGGATTACAGGAAGGATGCAGGAAGAGGGTTCCGCACAGGGCCCAGGACAGAACAAGGCCCCGCCCCTGGCTGTTCGCCTCAGGCACAGAACCTCAGAGCTCCAGGACCACCCACAGACAGAAAAAGCCCTAACGGGCCATCTCCTCCTTCAGAGGCGCTCACAGCAGCCGTCCTTGCTCAACCATCTGTTCTTCTTCAACAAAGGAAACAACTGAGCTGAGGAAAACAGGAACTCATTTCAAGAGCTCCACGATGAACCATTTCCCCTCTCCAACAGATTCCGCTCAGAGGCCTGCAGAGGCTCTCAGCAGCTGTGTGTCTAACAGCGCAGGGGAGGGGATGCGGGGATTTAGCCTCGGGGCGCGGGCTCATGAACTCACTGTTCTTGTTATTGAAGGCCGACACCGACAAGGCGTGCTCCATGTCTCCGAGCTTGATCTCCTCCCTCTGCCTCCCACTTCTCCAGAAATCCAAAGCCACGTCTGTGATCCTTTCCGCGCCGGCGTTGCTGCAGAGCGAGCGCAGGGAATGAGAGCTGGGCTTTCCCCGCAGCCCACAGGCTCGGGCTCCGAGCTCTGCCAGCGTGCCCCAGCCCGGAACGTACCTGAGAAAGATGAAGATGGCTTTCTGATAGGAGACCCCGTCCACGTGGTCATAATAGTCTAGGAAAGGCTTGATGGCGTCTATGAGGCCGGCGTGCATCTTATCCATTTCATCGAATATGAAGATGGACCTGGCGCAGGCACTCACGTTGCCGCGGATCCACAGCTGTAACTGATCCTGAATCACAGGGGGGAAGCAACACCAAGTTCTCAGCCGGTGCAGCTCCAACCCCCAGCACGGGCACCACTAACACCTCAGCTGCTTCCGAAAGGCTGCATTTACGGAGCGCTCACTGCAGTCTCAGCTCCGTGCTAAGAACTTGACACACACCTGCTCTTTTGTTCCTCTCCACAACCCCACCGAGTGGGTGTTATCGTACCCATTTCACAGATGAGGAAACAGAGGCACAGAGCGCTTAATCAACTTGCCCAAGATTATATAACTTCTGGGATCTGAACCCCACCCTGCCTGACTCCAAAGCCCCACACTTGGATTATAATTTCTGCGCTGAGCTGTCACCCCAATGCTGTGGCATTGAACTGCTGGCCATGTTCACACATTTCCTGTGTACACCAGCCTTCTAGAAAGAAGGCAGAGACCGAGAGACCCATGCTGCCATTCAGTCCTTAGCACAGCCTTGGGAGGGCGCTCCAGCTTCCCGATGGGGAAAATAAGGCGTGCAGGCTCCTTTAAGTGGGGCACCTGCCTCGAGAGCTCGCGCCTTGGCATGCGTGTGGCCAGCTAACACTCGTGAGTTTCTGGAACAAGGCCCGGAGGCTGTGCTTAACCTGAAACACTCCCTAAGAATATATTCAGGTACTTCTTAGAAGACTAAACAATCATTAAGGAGAAAAGACCTTTTTAAACAGAAATTTGAGCTCTGGTGCTTTCTAAATTTCCCTCACAAGGTGAAGAGGAGAAATGAGCTGTTTTCTGAGCAAGACTCTGGAGGTCTTGACTTCTTATGATTTTGGTGTCTGCTTGGCTACAGCGACCAGGGTTACAACGTCCCATGGTACAAATCTAACCTAAGTAGTAGTTCTGCTCTACAGGAGGACTAGTCTCTATTCACAGAGGAACCTCAGGAGAGCGTGTGGCCCCAAAGCAAGTCACTGTTTAAACAAGGACTCGCTCAGATCTGCTAGTTCTCCCACTCTGCCTCTGCGACTTCAGGCAATAACAGAGAACATGTATTGAACCCTCACTACAGGTCAGCCACTCTCTGGACACTGTTCCCATCACGTTTTATTGTGATCGCCCCAAACCAATCAAATGTGTGCACAACTGAACACTACTGCATTCCCTATTTTACAGCTGAGGAAATTAAGGCACAGAGAGGTTAAGTAACTTGCTCAAAACCACACAGCTATTAAGCAGTGGAGCCTGAATGCTAACCAGGATGACCAACCTGCCTCAGTTTGTCTGGAACTTTCCCAGGTTTGACACTGAAAATCCCACATCCTAGGAACCCTGGACAGTTGGTCACCCAGGCAGAAGGGAAAATGTGTTTTTCAAGGGTGAGTGCTAAACGGCTGTGTCTTGCTGCCTTGCAGGTTTGTTACACAGATTAAGAAAGGTGAAAGTTAATGCTTATTTGAACACTCATGTGCCAGGTGCCAGGACACATACGTGACAGACCGATGAGTCTCAGAGAGGTCAGGCAACCTTCCCAAGATCACACGGCTGGTAGTGGGAGAGTCAGGACTCAAATCCAGGTGTGTGTGCCGCCAAAGCCCAGGCTGCTAACCGGTGATAGAAAATAAAAGCAGTTTGCCACACTGCAGTTAGGCAAACTGAGGCCTCTCTAGAAATGTTTCCATTTTACAAAATGAGTTAGATCTGATGATCTTTAAGCCGGATTTGGCCGTGCCCATTTCTAAAATCCCCTGGCCCCACGTACTAAAACTGGGCCCACACTGGGCCTGATTCTGGAAACCGCAGGGTTTGATGGTGCAACTGCTCGGTGCGTCTGAAACCCTCTGTGGCTGCTTTCAGGGCTCCCTCATCTTAACAAGCAGTTCCCCAACCCCATCCCACCACCGAGAAACCCCGAAGGCACCCCGAAGGCAGCGCCCCCCAGGAAGGGCTCCCGGCCCGCGCTTGCCTTGTACAGCGTGAGGTTGGAGGCGTGCGGGAAGTGCAGCGTGGCCACGAACAGGTGCACATAGTGGCTGTGCAGGCCGCCCTCGTAGATGTTCTCCGCGATGATCTTGCTGGCAAAGTTCTTGCCGGTGCCGGTCCACCCGTGCAGGGAGAGGGTGAGCGGCTTCTTGGGCTTCGGGTTGCTGATGAAGCCGGTCAGGGCGTTTAAGATGACTTTCTTGGCAAGATGCTGCCCAAAGAGCTTGTGGTCCAGGTCCTTCTGCAGCGCTGGGAAGGGCAGGGCAGGGCCGTCAGGGCGGGCGGGGGCGGCATTCAGAAAGGTGCGCAGGCACCGGCTTCGTGGGGCCGGCGAGCACCTCGGGCCAGAGCCGGCGGGTGGGCCGGGGACCTCCCTCTGCTGGGGCGGCCCGTCCACAGCGGCCCGAGACCGGCTGGCTGCCCCTGGAAGGTCCGCGGCTCCGCGGCCCCGCCCGCCGCGCTGCACCCGGGGCCGGCCCTGCCCCCTCCCGCCCCGCGACGCGCAGGAAAGGCCGCGGCTGGGCCCCCGGGGTTCCGCGCCGGAAGGCCCCTCCACCCTTCCTGTCTCTGTGCCGGGGGGGCGACAGTCTGCGGGGCGGGAGGTGACATGGGTCACCGTGGCCGCGGCCTCGGTTGTGCGTAGAAGA